AGGTGGGACTCGATCCCGGGACTCCAGGATCATGCCCTGAGCCAAAGATAGATGCTCAACTGCTGAGCCACCCAGACATCCCAATATTGGTTATTTTTAACTGAAAAATTAAGAGCAGAGAAAGATAAATTTTATTCTGTCATGCCGTAAGTGTTCTCACAAATTTTCTAATCTTTCACTGCAATAACAATGCCCTCCCCAATGCCCTCCCCAGACATAATTCTAATTGGTCCTTTTAATGCTGTTGACTCATACAGTGCTGCCTAAAGTAGGAAGAATAATATTTTTTTAAATTGGATCTTTTATTTTTTAGTTTATGTTCCAGGGATGTTTTGTGTGTATGTGTGTATGTGATCAAGTAGATCCATAACTGCTTGGTAATTCTAATGAGAAAAGTAGACCATTTATTTGAGATATACTAGGTGTCAAAACCATACTGAATCCCCAGGAGTACGTTATCACCACAAGTCTTTGAAACAGTTAATTTCAATATGTATTTTATAAATGGAAAGCTAAGGCTCAGAAAATTTAAATAATTCTGTCGCGCTTAGAGTATTAAGTAGCACATCTGGGATGTGACACGGATCTTAGTGAGTTTTCCCACTGTACCATAATCCTGTCAGTGAGGACATTTGTTTCCATTTCTTAGGCTGGGGTTTTCTTTTTCTGTTTTATTAAAATGACTATATTCATTATAAATGACTTCAAATTCCAGTTGGGAAGAATCAAGGAATAAATAAGCCAAGGAGCTAATTACTTCTATGTAAATGAATTCTAAAAGAAAGGCCTTGACTGCGAGCCCTAAAATGCTGTCATGCCAGCAGTCACTGGGTGGCCTTGGTGCCTCCTGCCAGTTGTCTGCAAGAGCCTGTCATACCATGGTCCTCATTGTTTGAAACTGAAATATGAGTAGAGCATTTCCTCTCCTTTCTGCACAAGATATATTCTACTTGTAATACTACTGTCAGTTTCCTTTTCTTTGCAACCATCCATCATCATTCAGCATTTTCTCTGGTGCCTGTCACCCGGCCTCTGACAGCTGGGATTAGACTGTAAACATAATGAATGAAGGGGAAGGAGGTGCTCTGGCCGTTTTGTGCTTTTCTCGGGATTGAATATGTTCCCTTAGAACGTTGATGACAGCAACTTCCAGATTACCTGATTACGGGAAGGCATGCAAAGAGAGGCCAGTTTTGTTTCTCACTCAGAATATTGAAATGCTAGACTACATCTCAGAGGATTAGACACTCAGACCATACGATCTTGGGCCACAGTCTTTACTTCTGGTTCTTTACCTGTGCATTTTCAAGAATATTTTTACTGGGTTAGTGTTGTTTTTGGTAATTTAGTAGGTTGGGTTTGGGCTTGTAGGAAAGAGGAAATCACATCAAATGCAGGGTAGATAGGGTTTGCAGTGGGCCTGGAAGCATAGATGAAGTTCCTGTAGGTGGAATTTTGGCTGGGGGTTGAGTTAGTCCTGCCCAAAGTTTACTTTTTATTTAGTTAACTCTATTCTGTAAAGCAGTAATGATCTTTCTGCAGCTAACAGGGAACAATTGCAACTATTATTTAGTTTACAGCTGAATGCTAGCCATCATCCTTCATTTTCACAGCCAAATCTTCCTCTCACTGACATTTCTAGTGGCCTGGGGGCCTTATTTTTGGTATTATATCTTTTGTTATCTGTGTTCTCTGATTGTCATCAACAAATGTTTATTAAGCACACCTGTTCCCTGTAAGACTCTGGGGACATAGAGAGGCTTGCTTATGTTAGGTTTTTGACCGTTTACAAAGGATTTGCGCACATACTTTCTCATCTAAGTCCAATAACATTCTGATAAGGTGGGTCTCTTTCTTCATTCAGCAGATGTATGCTTTTATAACTACTTTCCAGGAAGTTCCATTCCAGTCAGGAAAATGTTATGTAAGCATTAGAAAACAAATGACAATACAGGTGACCTGTGTTAAGGTTATATAGGTTATTTTATGTAAAGTCATTGCTAATGGAATTGTGGACAATTGGGAGAGGGCCATCCGACAGTTGAAGGCTGGATGTGGTGCCTAAAGGAATGGTAGGAGGGGGCACAGGCCACTAAATGAAAGCCTGGTGTGCACCAGGACATGGCAGTGCATGAACATTTAGTGCATTTGGTGTTGCATTTGGTGTTGCATCTTACTAGTTCGCTTGGTGTTGCATGTTACTAGTTCGCTTGGTGTTGCATTTGGTGTTGCATGTTACTAGTTCGCCTGGAGCTAGGTTAATCTGGTCTCTATATAAGTATTGAGTACCTAAGATCATAAAACCTAAATTTTTTTAGAAATCATTGGAGATCCTTGTAGATTAACTCACATTTGTCTTTAAAAGAAATGCCCTGGGTGGCGCAGCGGTTTAGCGCCGCCTTTGGCCCAGGGCGCGATCCTGGAGACCCAGGATCGAGTCCCACGTCGGGCTCCTGGTGCATGGAGCCTGCTTCTCCCTCTGCCTGTGTCTCTGCCTCTCTCTCTCTCTCTCTCTCTCTCTCTGTGTGTGTGTGTGTGTGTGTGTGTGACTATCATAAATAAATAAAATTAAAAAAATAAAAGAAATGCTTATATATTCAGTAAATGAATGCATTATATTGTGTAGGTTTACTTCATGGGAAATTATTTATGTTGGGCCTGGAGTGCAGAATATAACCTGTTTATTTGCTACGCATATACACATTTTTGGATAATTCAATACTGACTTCATCTGATGATTTTTGAGAAGTATTGATAAGATATATTTATTCTGTTCTTTGTGTTTGTAACCATACCATGTGACCTTTAGAGGAGGGTTTTGTCAAAGGAATAGTGTTTATGATAGTCTTGATGCTCTCCTTTTGCAAAATCACTGACTTAGCAGAACACTTATATCTCTGGTGCAAATATAGTAAAACAAGATGGATTTCTTTTTTCAAATGAGAAAAAATAGCTTATGGTTTTGAATCAGGAGCTGTACATACCATTATATTTTCTGTTTTCCTTAAGAAAAGCTGTGCTGTGATTAGTTGGTGGAAACAACTAATCCAAATGGGACTTGCCTACATTCTGATGCCTCTGGGAAGTCTTGATGATCCAGGGGTATGGATTTCTGAGGCTTTACATGTTTTTATCAGTCAATCTCCAAGTTACCTCAGAGACCATTAAGATAGATAATAAACCCAAATGAGATTTAGTTGTGCTTGGTATCATGCAAAGAACTCTAATTAGAAAGAAAATATTTAACTTAGAAAAAAGAATTTTATTTTTAAATTTATGATAGTCACAGAGAGAGAAAGAGGCAGAGACATAGGCAGAGGGAGAAGCAGGCTCCATGCACCGGGAGCCCGATGTGGGATTCGATCCAGGGTCTCCAGGATCGCGCCCTGGGCCAAAGGCAGGCGCTAAACCGCTGCGCCACCCAGGGATCCCAGAAAAAGAAATTTTAAGTGTAGATTTTTAGGATTTTGAAGGGAAGCCTACAAAATGGCATCTATCTTTTTGTCAGATTTCGGAAACTATTAAGAAATTACATAAGGTAGATGGAAGATGAAATACCAACCTTTATACTGACAGACGCTAGACTGGAAGGTGTAGTCTACTTTGAGAACCAAATGAGTTTGCTAACTGAACATCAAAATTAGAAACATTTGCTCACCACTTCATCCTTCTCTGACAAAGCAAGACCTTTATTTTTCAACTTTGTGAGACAACACTTACCACCTACAGACATTCTGGTTTCTAAAGTGCAATAAAGAGGTTGCTGAGACGTGCATGCTCAGCTTTGTCTTCTCAATTTCACCAAAGGAGTTACTTCACTTCCTAGAATGGATAAAAGAGGGATGCAGGGATTGCAAATTTTCATTGTAGGTAGGTAACATGAGTAGTGTGTGGAAGGGGGAGCATTTCTCCCAACATCCTAAGATACACATTTTTCATGACCCTCTGAAATTAGGATGATATCTTAGGTCAATGGCATCATAGTGGCTGTAGACCAGAAGACAGTCAGAATGAGTTGTTTCTGCCTCAGTATGTGTAAACTGTGAATGGATATTCTTCATACCGTGAGCCTTCAGTGTTTCAATTGATGATCTCTTAAGGACTGTTTGAGGAAAGAGTATGAGTTTTAGCTGATATAGACCTTCTCTTTAAACCTTCTGATAACATCAAGTACATATCAACGTTAAACCTTGCAGAATTGGTATTAGCAGCTGGAATAAAATACTGGATTCACTCCTTTAGGAAACCCACTTAGTGACAGCATTTATAAAACAAGCATATTAGCAACTCTGAGTCATTAAGAAAAGCTGCATTCTGAAAATTACGTAGTTGTAAGAACACCTTAATTTATTTTTCTTACATTTCTGTATTAAATGCGAGAGATTTATGGTAAACACCTATTTATTTTAAAAGCCTTAATCTTAAATATTTACTTAGGAATTATATAACCTACTTATATGTATGTATTTCAACCATAAGGAGCTTTTCAATGAGAAAAAACTCTTTTAAGTAATAAAGAAGCATTGTATAGTTTCATTTGCAGAATTTTTAAAAAATTGAGTGTTATAGTAGCATATCTTAAAATTTGTGGGGTCTCAGATTTGATGAAGTGTGATCAGTTAGGTTTATATGGATCTCTGCTCCAACCTTTATAGCCCTGGACAACCTTGAGTGGTACTTTCTCTTTGGGAAAGTTTTCACGTTCTGTACTAAGATAGACACTGGTCATTGTTTAACTAGGTTTTACCCTACAATATTTCTTTAAAAACTCCATTTGTTTTTACTGAGCTTCCATGTTCTCAATCCAGAGTGAAAATGCTGCTCTATAGTTTATGCAATGAAGAGACTGGATGCAGTCTTTCAAAATAATTTTATAGATTTGAAGACAACTGTTTTCAAAGATGGTCCTTCTTATGATAGTATAACATTCATTTCAATAGCCTTGATTTATTTTTTTGTAAAAGTCCTAGTAAGCTAAATTTTCTTCTTTTTCCTGAAAGGCGGTCCTGATGACAACTTAATTGAAGGTGGAGGAACCAAATTTGTCTGCAAACCTGGAGCCAGAAATATTACTGTCATATTCCATCCATTGCTAAGGTAAGTCAAATCCTATGTACTTACGAAAGTCAGTATTTTCATTGTTTATGCTAATGTACTGAATGCCAGTAGGTCAATGTTGAAACAAGCCATAAACAAACAAACAAACCAAAATAAAACAGTGGAGTTGATATTATTTGTTTTATAGACAAACTTGGATCGTAAAGCCCTAGAAAATGGAACATGTTTTTTATTTTATTTTTTATTTATTTTTATTTTTATTTTTTATTTATTTTGGAACATGTTTTTTAATGTATTGTTTAGTACCTATTTGTTCTCTGTAGTAATGCTCCATAAATACTTTCTTATAATTTTCTTTGTTTCCTATTCCCTGTCTCTGCCCCTCTCCTTCTCTTGTCATTGTCTCTCTATTCCCTTCTTTATTTCAGGGAGTAGCAACTTATGGCCCATAGGAGAAATCCAGTCTGTCCTGTGTTTTTCTTCCTTTTTTTTTTCCAATAAATTTTTATTGACATTGTCATGCTCATTTATTTATGTGTTATCCATAGCTGCTCTGTGCTACAGTGTTGCAGAGTTGAATATTTGCAAGAGGAACCATATGGCCTACAAAGCCTGCAATATTTACACTTTGGCCTTTTTCAGGAAAAAATGGCTAACCCATGATCTGTCTCACTAATTTACATTAATGACTCAGATATCCTTTGAGGATTGGCAAGTCTTTGAACAAATATGACTTCTAAAACTGAAAGACATTCTATCAGCCATATATAGGATTTTATATATAAAGGACAACTCAATGCTGACTAGAATGAGATCTTTTATATCACTCAGTTTATTGTGGAATGATGATTATTAAATAAAGATCTGTGATACTTCCTTTTTAAAAGCTTCTAAGTCTTAAGTACTTTTAAAAAGGAACTTTTGGGGAAGAGAGGAAAGGGAATTATTATTCAGTGGATCTGAAGTTTTGGATTTGCAAGATGAAAAATTTCTAGAGACCTGATTACTCAACCATGTGTGTATAGTTAACATTACTGTGCTGTATACCTAAAAAAGATTAAGATGGTGAATTTTATGGTGGTGTTGACCACCAGTAAAATAGGGTACTCTTTGAACATAGATATCCAATATAATATTAATTGTATATTTTTCTCTGTAATAAACCAGTGTATATTTTTGCTTTTTTTCATACAATGAATCAGAAACTCTTGGGTTCAGTAAAAGTTAGGTGCCTCAGATAATCACATTAAACTTTCTCACATGACTTCTATAATATTTGAGGCATTTGAAATAACAGTCAAGCAAGTGCTCCTGAATTGTCCAGATAAATATTGTATATGTTTTTTCTGAAACATAGGCAGTTTAATATGGGAATTACCCTACCTTCTCATTAATTTTAATGGATTAAAATCCATTAGAACTAGTTCAATTCAGATCTCTTAATTAGGCAACCAGTTTTAAAAATTGTATTGGAACACTTCACCCAATTAGTTTTAAATGCAGAAACACAAATATGTAAATTAAATAACAACAAAAAATCCTGTCATGCAATGACAAGAGATTTTTAAAGAATTATTAATTTTTTGAAAATCTGTTTTAGCAAACATTTGCAGGAAGTATATCATGGAATTTAAGAATCATGGCATTAAGAGAATTAGGACTATTCCTCTATAAATTCAGTTGTTTTTCTATATAAATGCATAAATTACAACATCTAGAATTTCTAGATTAAGTAACAGTGCTCATCTTTATTACACCTGACTTTGGTAATTGGTTTAGTATTCACTCTCATTTTCAATTAAATTGATTTCTACTTAGAGTTGCTAATTGTTAGGAAAATGGGAAAATACTTTAATCATTATAGGCATCTCCTAACATGGATTTAATGCCATAATTTACTCCTGAATTACACTATGGCATGGATAAATGTAATCCTTATGCTTACATTTGTTCCAAAGCATCAAAGAAGACCTTTGGATGTTTTTTTGGCCGTAGTGTCAGTCACCACTTTACAAGAGATTTTTTCCCAGGATGCCTGGGTGGCTCAGCAGTGGAGCATCTGCCTTGGCCCAGGGTGTGATCCTGGAGTTCTGGGATCGAGTCCCACATCGGGCTCCCTGCATGGAGACTGCTTCTCCCTCTGCCTATGTCTCTGTCTCTCGTGAATAAATAAATAAAATCTTAAAAAAAAAAAAAAGATTTTTTTCCCCTTTAAACTTTTTTTTTTTTTTTTTTTTTTGCCTTTTCTAAATGTGAAGTTAGGAGAATGGGGAAGAAAAACTATCCTTATTTCACAGTTAATAAAATGCATTATTTGCTTAAGTACGGATAGAGTTCAGTGTATTGCAGTTTTTTTTTAAAGATTTTATTTATTTATTCATGAGCGACAGAGAGAGAGAGAGAGAGAGAGAGAGAGAGAGAGAGAGGCAGAGACACAAGCAGAGGGAGAAGCAGGCTCCACTCAGGAAGCCTGACGTGGGACTGGATCCCGGGTCCCCAGGACCACATCCCAGGCTGCAGGCAGCGCCAAACCACTGTGCCACTGGGGCTGCTCATATTGCAGTTCTTAACAATTATTTTTTAGCATTTATCCTACTTTACAAGAGAGTTCTTTTAAGGCTTGATAATACTATTAGTTTTACTCAACTTGGTTTGTCTCTACTTTCATTCAGAATGTTATTACTGATTAGTACAGGTGAAAGTTTTGTTGCATGATACGGTTTACATTCCATTCACTGTGTAACTCTTCATGGAAATCACAAGAATATTATGTGGTCTGCAAGGTAAGTTAATTCCTTTCTAAGCAGGTGATCATTATATAGACTTTAGCCTTTGGCTCAAATTATAGCCTTGCTTCTCAAGCCCATTATGAAGTCTCAGCTGAATCTCCATAGTGGGCTTATGGAGTTTCAGATGATTAAGATATTATAGTTGGTTTTTTTTCTTATTCTAATTTTTACACTTCAGCATTTGGTGATTATCGGATTTATTATTTCTTTTAAAGTTTGGAAGTTTTGGTAATGAGGAGAGTCAGTGTGCGTTATCATACTAGTGCATTTCATTTTTACTCTTTAAATTTCCACATTTCTCCTGTAGTCATTCACTTATTTGTGATCAACAAATGGGTATCGGACACTTAGGATGCATGTTTTCACTTCTCTAAGTCTAATATGGACTCTTCTTTAGAAATAATCACTCTTATTTTTATGGGATTATTTAAATATAGTATCTGTGCATATATTTTCCATCCTTTGGTATGCCACTCATTTTATTTCTGTGCTAGCTCAAAGTGAAGGTGACTTAGCATATTATTGTGTAGAAGATAGTATAATCTAGTGGGAGAGTTAGCATGGAAGAATGGAAAGATGGGGAAGTAAAGCATAGGATTTGAAATTTTAAGTGAAAATTGCAACAAATTAGGTTCAGATCCAGGTTCCTCTGTTCAGTTTTACTCACTGATTATTTACTGGACTCTCATTCTATGCCAGGTCCTGGGGAAATGAAAAAATGACATCAAATCCTTGCCTAAAGGTACTCCCTTGGTAGCTGCATAGGCAGCAAAAACAGATGCCCATTAACACCACTGACTGGTGAGGAAAGAGCTGAGTGGGATCTTTTGCACCTAGTAGGTGGACGGCTGAGCCTTTCCTGCACACAGACAGTAGTGAGCAATCACATAGCCTTTCACCTAGCATTTCTCTTGCTTGTGTGCTTCTTTTCAGACACGAGGACTCATCGGTTCCCCCTCCTAATTCCCCAGACTCTAGTTCAGAAGGAGCTTACCTCAAGTTGGCTTTGATCACCCATTTAAACACTGTCATTGTTTTCTTACACTGTCTCACTCAGTGAATGGAGTTCTTTTTCGTTAGAAGGGAGAAACCTTTTCAAGCGTGTAGGGCATTTATTTCCCTACAGTACTTTTCCTTTATGTCTGGTGGTACTTGGATTCTTCTGTCTTCCTGAAACGCTGCAGATGGCTTGTGTGTACTTCATTTATTAAAGATGTTCTTTTCATCATTTCTATTTCATTGGCAGTACATTCTTTTTTTTTATAGATTTCTGTTTTTTTTTATTTTTTAAACGTTTTTTTAATTTATTTATGATAGTCACAGAGAGAGAGAGAGAGAGAGAGAGAGAGAGAGAGAGAGACTGAGAGGCAGAGACACAGGCAGAGGGAGAAGCAGGCTCCATGCACCGGGAGCCTGATGTGGGATTCGATCCTGGGTCTCCAGGATCGCGCCCTGGGCCAAAGGCAGGCGCCAAACCGCTGCGCCACCCAGGGATCCCCATTGGCAGTACATTCTTTTAGCTGCATGAAAGTTTGCCGTCCTGAAAACTCAGAACCACCCTGTTCAAGAACACTGCACAGTAGATTCCTGTTATGTTGTTTTATTTATTCTTAGCCATCCTTTTTACTGCCCTCCCATAAAATCATTGTACAAAGTCCTAGATCTGGCAACCTTGCAAGTTTATTTTCATACTTTTCTCCTAAGGACTGCAGTTTCTTCAGTAAGAAATCTCACAGGGTGTCAGAGACAAGTATATGGACTTACAGTCTGTTTGCTACCTGTTAACTTTGCTGGTCCCTTGACTTGTTTATTTAATACTTTTCCTTACTATTTTCTCTTTCTGGGTAAGAAATCAAAAAATTGTCTCAGAGAATGATGTTTTAGAAAAAGGAAGTCTCTAGTATTATCTTGCTTGCTCTAACGCTTAACCTCAAAAGATGTTGTGTAAAACTAGAGCCTTAATTTAAGGTCTTGATGGTAAGAGTTTATCTAATCAATTTTGCTACCACTGGTTCTAAGTGAACAAAACATATTGAAATGAAGAGGTTTCTCCTTATATGTAGGTAGATTCTGATACTTTCACCAAAATAGATAGGCCTAGTAACTTGTTCTCCCCCTCACTGACATAGTTGCTGCCTTTTAGCTTTTTCTGGAAACAGTCAAGAGGAATGGATGGAGTCATCTAATAAATTATTTTATAGGCCTTCAATTTGAGAAACAAAATATGAGAATGGTGATATTTGAATGACA